CCCCAAAACCCCAAAACCCCAAAACCCCAAAACCCCATAGTGAAATAAGATATTTGCTCAATCATTTAGCTTAAAATTAATGGATGAAGATCAAATTTTACTTTCAAGAGTATAAAGATCCTTGCGTCTATGATTAAGAACCATAATCTGCTATCTTATTTCAGTGACTTCCTTGAGATCAATGTCAGCATAAATAATAGTTTCCTCAAAAGCAGCTTCACATAAAGTTTTCCCCCATGGAGACATCACAGATGAGTGGCCCCAGCTCTAAAAGACTTCTTTGTCTTCTGAGTTTATAGCTGATCCACAACTCATTAAGAAAACCTGGTTATCAATAGCTCTTGCTCTTTTTAAAGTGTCAAAATGCAATTCACCTGTTTTCAAAGCGAAATTCGCAGGATAGCAAATCATCTCAGCTCCCTGATTTACTAATTACAATGCATACTCTGGGAATCTTATGTCGTAGCAGATGCCTAATCCAATCTTGCAATACTCAGTCTCAAAGATTGAGTATTAAGGTGGACCTGGCTTTACGTACTCACTTTCATAGAAGGTCACTCCTCCTGGGATATTGATATCAAACAGATGAAGCTTTCTATGTTCTGCAACAATATCACCTTCCCTGTTAAAGCAAAGTGATGTATTGTAAACTCTTTCCTCTCCTTCGATTTCCTGAGGGAAACTACCTCCGATAATGTACTTATTCAGAGATTTGGCTAAACCACTTAGCATTTTTGCTGTCTCACATTTCTCATTGGTCTTAAAATCTGGTAGAAGGGGTTCCCTATAGTCAAGCATGTGCTTTCTTGTATAAGGGGCAACGAACATCTCAGGTAAGACAATTATATCAGCTCCGTTTTGCGCTGCTTCCTATTAGCAAAATCAAAATATATTTTGGGGTAGTTACACTAATCATTTCTGCTGCTCTCTTGAGATTGTGCTATTTATCAGCAATTGTTTTAATCTAAGTGTAAATATAAATGATTAGATGAATTGCTTACTTGACAAAGTCCAACTTTAAAGATTCTACTTTGCATTTTATAATATATTTATAATTTGCTTTAAGATACTTGCATATCTTTCGATAGGGGTTTTGGGGTTTTGGGGTTTTGGGG